TAAGGCTCACCGCACCTGGGCTGGCACCGCACCTGGGCCGGCACCGCACCTGGGCCAGCACCTTCGACAAAGACTTTGAAGCCCCGGTTCGAAGCTGGTGAGGGTGACGTCTCCTTGCCGGCCGCCCGTCCCCGCAGCACCTGTGTTCACTCTGCCGTTTGTACCTGCAGCGCCTGTATCTTAAACACGAGCTGAAAACAGCGCCTACACCTTTCACCTGCCAGCGGCTGTGAAGGAAACGCTACCACGAGCAGAGCTCCCAGAGGACAGGAAACGGGAAGCGGTCCTGTGGGAAGACGGTGAGGAAGCGGAAAGAACTGGGGTCTGACTGGAGGTCACCCCGAAGAACAGGGGGCAGGGCCAGTCCTTCCCGCAGCCTGGGGTCTGCTAGCACCACCGCTGGTCCGAGGAGCTGCACCCCAACCTCAGCCCTGCGACGGCCCCGCCCAGGACCTGTGCTCTGGTTCGGCCTGGTGGTGAGGGTCCCTGCCTTTCGCGTGTGTAGCCATGGAAACAGGCGTGCTGGGCATCGCCCTGTGCCAGGCGCAGCGCAGGACCCACGGGCACACGGGCGGGGACAAGCGGTATGGCCCGCGCCTGGGCGTCCACGGTCTCGGGGCTGGTGGGAGGGCGGCTGTGAAGGGACCCACGTGTGTCCATGTGTCAGCACCAGTGGTGACATGAGCGTGAGGGACCACGCGGAGCGGTCACGGAGGGTGACTGAGCCCCCAGCTCTGGGCTGGGTCGTGACCCTTCTCGTGGGGACTCAGAGCAGAGGCCGTGGTCCAGGTGAGAGGGGCCAGCCGGCTCCAGGTGAGGGTGCCCGAGAGGAGGGGCCCCTGGAGACCGAGGGAAGGCGAGCGGGGGGTGGGGGGGTGCTGAAGAGCGGAAAAGCCAGGGAGCACGGCCTTGGAGTGGGACTGAGCATGAGGTCTGTCCCGAGGCCACAGGTGGGCGCCAGGGGTTCCCAGCAAGGAGACAGTCAGCCTGGCCTCCCCCCACAGGCCCAGCCGTCTCCCTGCCCGTCCACGGAGTCAGCCCCAGCTCAGCTTTGCAAGGTTTGAGGGGGGAGCAAACAGGACATAGAGGGTGGGGCAAAAGCAGGCTTACAGTTGTGAGGGGCGACCTATGAACCAGGAGGGCACGGTTCGATTCCGGTCAGGGCACATGCCCGGGCTGTGGGCTCGATCCCCAGTGAGGGGCGTGCAGGAGGCGGCCGATCCACGATTCTCCCTCCTCATTGATGTTTTCATCTCTCTCCCTCTCCCTTCCTCTCTGAAAAAAAATAAAAATTTAAATTAAACAATCACACAGGAGAACCTTAGCTAAGTTCTTCCCTGAACATGAATAAGTTTCTAGCAAGCTGGCTTCCTGCCTCCGAGTTCTTGTGAAGCAAATATTTCCAATTAAAGTCGTGAACCCTAACAGATGCCTTAGCGTGATGACATGGCTAATCCGAGGGATCAGGTGGGCCAGGCTGGGCCCAGGTGAGTCACGGGCATCCTTAAAGAGGAGGGGTCCCCCACCCCCTGCTGCGGTCAGAGGGAGGGGGAGGGGCTGGCTGTGGAGATGGAGGGAGGGGCCAGGCGCCTCTGGAAGCCAGGAAAGGCCAGATGGGCTCTCCCCTGGCGCCTCCGGAGGGACACACACTGCAGACACCTTGTTAGCCGGGGGAGACCTATTGGGCTTCTGACCTCTGGCCTCCAGAACTGTAACAAACTCCGTTGTCTTAAGCCACTAAACCTGTGGTCATCTTACAGCGGTAACACGAAACCAACACACTTAGATTAGCAGTAACCAAGATACTGAAATTATTTTCCATAAAAAATATCCGTTAGATGGAAGATGCTGTCAGAGGGAAGACTGAGAGGTCCACTCCCAGACCTTCTCAAACGCATGTAACAGCTTTTTTGGCAAAATATGAGAGGCCGAGGAGGCCCTCGGGGACTGTCAGGGCCTCGTCTCATGTCGGTTTCATGGCGGCAGAGGGTCCATTTAAAGGTGGGGTTTGTGCCAGCGGGTGCCACGCCTGAGGGTGGGGGGGGGGGGGGGGGGGGGGGTTAAGACCTGGGTGACGCGTCATTTCTGAGACACGTGTGTTTGCCTGTCATTGTTAGAACATGTCACCCGGCCAGCTTGAGGCGGGCAATTCAGGGGATTGACTACATTCACCAGGTTGTGCAGCCACCACCATCACCCCATCTCTTCATCGTCCCAAAGGGACTCCGTGCCCATCAGACAACTGCACAGCCCCCCCCACCCCCCACCTGCGGGCGCCCTCCCGCTGTCCGTCTCTATGGACCCGACGCCTCTGGGCGCCTCGTGTGAGAGGAGTCACAGCCCCTGTCCCTGTTGTCCCTTCTGTCACCTGCATACGTTCTCGGGCTCACCCGGCTGTACC